TTATACACTGGAGAATACGGTAATTATTTATGGTAATTAATAATCATGTGCAGTACTCATCTATACTCCTAATACTCCATTATAGTCCTAAAGAGCTAATTTCCTGGTTCCATTCTGTACATCCTAATATGCACGTGTTATACACTGGAAAATAGGATAGCTGCTTATACTCGATACTCATCTACCACATACATGCATACTCATGGTACTCAGTTATGCTCCCTAAGGGCTCATTTCTTTGTTCCATATGATAGCTTGGGTGTGTAGAAAATCTCCCTAATATGTGTCATATACACTAGAAAATATGGTAGTTATTGATACTCATTCATATTTACCTGCAGCATTCATTTATACTCATAATACTTAGTTATACTCCCTAAGAGCTCATTTTTGTTCCATAATGTAGCTTGGATATGTAGACACCCGCTGTAATATGTGTGTCTTATACACTGGGAAATACTCATTACTAGCCGCATCCCACATTCATTTATACTCATGATCCTCAGTTCTGCTCCCACAGAGCTCCTTTCTTTCTTCCAGACTGTAGTTTGGGTATGTGGAGACCTGGCCTAATATGTGTGTCTTATACATTGGAAAATATGGTAGCTGTTGATCCTTGTTAATACTCATGTAAAGAATTAATTTATGTTCCCGATACTATGTTATACTCCCATACAGCTCCACTCTTCTTTCCATGCTCTAGCTTGGGTTCATGGAGACCCCCCCGCATGTGTGTGACACACTAGAAAATACAGTAGTTATTTAATGTTATATACAAGTATTAATGAGTATCATTTATGTTCCTGAAACTCAGTTATACTCCCATAGAGCTCCTTTCTTCTTTCCATAGTGTAGCGTGGGTGCATAGAGACCCACCCTAATATACCTGTCTTATACACTGGAAAATACGGTAGCTGTTGATCCTGATTAATACTCAGCTGCAGCATTAATTTATGCTAATGATATTCAATTTTACCCTCGCAGAGCTCCTTTCTTCTTTCCATGCTGTAGCTTGGGTGCAGAGACCCACCCTGTGTCTTATACACTGGAAAATATGGCAGTTGTGTATCATCTTTAATATTAATGACCTGTGCTTATTTAATATTAATTTATGGCAATTTATTGGCACTTTGTTTCTCGAAAGCTATTTTTATATCCTGCCTAGTGATCCCGCCGTGATTAGAATTATTTAACAGGCGGGTAAGTACCAGCTTAATTACTGGGTGAGTGTATTAATTAGTGGCCCTGCCGCTTGTTAAGCAATCGTCCTCTCGTTACCGGTTGCCGGAAGAAGCCTGTGGGTTCCGGGTCATGGTGAGGTCATCTCCTCAAAGGAGGAAGTGCCCGGGAAGGTGAGCCAGTGCTGAGGGGCCCCGGTCCATATTTCCTTAACGAGCCGGGGAGTTCTGGGAAGTGGGGCAGGATTGGTCATGGGTTACTTGGTTGGATGCGCTCACCTGTCCTTCCAGTCTCTTCCTCCCTCCGTCCGGAAGGCTGGGTGGGCCCCGTCCGTCCGTCCGTCTGTCCGTCCGTCCGTCCGTCCGTGTGTCTAGCCAGCCAGCCATCTCCCTTTCTGCTTATCCATCCATCCCTCCCTCCGTCCTTCCATCTGTCCATCCACCCATCTGTCCGGTCCACTTCCTCCCGCTATCAGTCCGCCTGGCCCTCTCCTCTTTGCACCTCTTTGCACCTAACCATCATCCATAGATTGATCCATCCATCCGTCCGTCCACCTACACCTCCATCCATCCATCCATCCATCCATCCATCCATCCATCCAATTCACTTCCTCCCACTATTGGTCCACCTGTCCCTCCCCTCTTTGCACCTAATCATCATCCATAGATTGATCCATCCATCCGTCCATCCACCTACATCTCCATCCACCCATCCATCCAACGAATCCAATGGATCCATCCATCCAGTGAATGCATGAACGAATCCATCCATCCATCGCACCTCCTCTGCCCTGGGACTTTCCCTCCCCAGCTCACTGCCCCTCGCTCTTTGCCTACTGGGCCTTTTCATTCGTTCCCTGCCCACTCGGTGCTGCCCCTGCCGCTCGCAATGAGCCCGGAGCTCCCCCTTCTCTGGGGGTCTCCTGGTGAGTAGCAAGCAGGTGTGGGGAGGGAGAGAGGGGTGGCTGGAGAGAAGGAGGGATGGAGGGGTGGGGTGTCTGTGGGGTGGAGGGGTGGGGTTGGGGGCATGGGCTGGTTGAAAGGAGAGAGTGAAAGGGGCCACGAGGACAGGTGGACGGAGAGCAGAGCTGGCTGGGGCAGGCCTTGGATGCATTGAGTTTAACAACTCGCTCCCCGGTTTAACAACCCCGCCGTTCTGCCAATCACCGCTCGCATGCAAAGGTTGCTGCCCCCAGTCGCTGCCTCCCCTGCACCGCACCCCCGCTGGGTCGTTCCGGCTCTTTTCCAGGGCCGCAGCGCATGGGGTTTCAGCTTTTGGCTGAGCAGTCACTGCTGGTTCAGGCGGGAGCGGGCAGTGGGGCAAGGGAAGTGGAATTACTGTATTTTCCTGCCCTGCTGACTCCTCTGTAAGTATTTCATTACCGTATTTTCCCAGCCTGCTCACTCTCCCATGAGCACTGAATTACCATATTTTCCCAGTCTGCTGAGTCTTTGTTGAGAATGGAATGCCCATATTCCCCCACCGCCCCCCGCTGCATATTGAATTACCGTATTTTCCCAGCCTGCTGACCCCCCCGTGAGCCCTGAATTAATGTTTCCGGGCTTGCTGACTCCCCTCTGTGAAGATAGAATTACCATATTTTCCCGGCTTACTGACCCGCCGCCTGCCATGAGTATTGAAATACTGTGTTTTCCCAGCCTGCTGACTCCTCCCATCAGTACTGAATTACCATATTTTCCCTGCCCACTGACTCTCTGTGAAGATGGAATTACCCTATTTTCCCAGCCTGCTGACTCCACTGTGAGCAGTGAATTCCTATATTTTCCCTGCCTCCCATGAGCCCTGAATTACTATATTTTCCCAGCTTGCTGACAACTCCTATGAAGACAGAATTACCGTATTGTCCCCGGCCATTGACTCCACCATGAGTCTGGAATTACCGTATTTTCCCACCCAGGAGTCTGAAATTACTGTATCTTCCCAACCCGCGGACTCCCCTATGACGATGGAATTACCGTATTTTCCTGGCCCATTGACTTTCCCATGCGTCACCCAGCCCCGGCATGAACCTGTCCCCCTACTGATGACCCGTCCTAACCTGGCCCCAGGTTGCCCAATGAAGTAATGATCCATGAGTCACATCCCGCCCTGTTTCCTGGAATGTCGCCATTGCTGTCGCAATTTCCCAATCAATACCACTCCCTCTTGGCATGGTGGGGCGGGGGAGATGGGAGACTGCCCAAGGGGGCATTTGTTGGGGGAGGGGAGGGAGGAGAGGGCAAAAAAGCCTCCCATCTGCACCCCAGAGCATTTAGGCAAGAGGGAAACTGAGGCTAGGAAGGAAACCGGTAGCCATGGGGCAACCCCATGGGGCAATCTCTGCCTGACCGGCCAATCCGCATTCTCCCCCACATCCCAGCTGCTCTGGGAGGGGTATTTAAGTGCCCGGCACCCCAGGAGGAGATGCTGCCACTGGTGCCATGGAGACAGGGAGAAGACCAGGCCGGGCTGTGGGGGGGGGCCTCGTGGGCCTGATCCTGGCTGGGCTGCTGGGTCCTGGGGGCTGCCTGCGGCGCTCAGGTGAGACCGGTGGGGGGTGGAGGAGACCCCCAGGGGCTCATGGGAAGGGTGGCAGGAGCTCGAGGGGGTTCTTTAGATGCCCTCACTCTTCCTGTCACCGGGAAGGGGGCAGGGGATCTGGTTGTGTGTGTGTGTGTGTGTGTGTGTTTTGTGTATATGTGTGTGTGTTGTGTATGTCTATAGAGGGGTGTGTGTGTGTGTGTGTGTGTGTGTGTGTGTGTGTGTGTGTGCATCATCTGTCCCCGTCCTGTACCTGGGTCCCTGCCTGTGCGTCACGCCTCTCCTTGTCCATCTGTCTGTGCTGGTGTGGCGGGGCCCTCCACCCCCGTGCAGCTGCTCTGTCTTTGCACATGCACTGCGCACACATGGACATACACACACGGACACGGACATGCATGCTCTCCTGTCGGTCTGTCTCTCCCAGTGTGAATGCTTCCGATCCTGCACATCTGCTGTGCCATGGGTCAAGCCTTCCCCACCCCTCAGGGGCAGGTGTGTGTGTGTGTGCGTGTCTATAGACACATAGACGGATGGGAGGGGTATGTGGGGGGGGCGGGGTTTGTGTGTATGTATGTGTATTGTGTATATATATATGTGTGTGTGTGTGTATGATACAGACATACATACATCCACACATACACAACACACACACACACACACAGAATACACACATATACACAACACACCCACACACATATACAACACACACACATATATACACAATACAAATATGCACAACACGTGCGCACACACATACACAATACACTCACACAAAATGTACACATAACAGACGCGCACCCCCTCTGTCCATCCGTATGTGAATGCCTCCATCCTTGCACATCTGCTGTGTTGTGGATCCAGCCTTCCCCAAGCCAGTGTGTGTGTGTGTGTGTGTGTGTGTGTGTGCGGGCCCCGGATGCCTGGGTTCTCCATGTGTAATGTCCTCTGGATGCTTGGATTCTGCATGCGAGTGTCCAGGACACCTGGGTTGTGTGTGTGTGTGTGTGTGTGTACACACGTACACATAGAGAGAATCTCCATGCATTTCATCCCCCCCCAGAGCAAGCGCTCCCTCCCTCCCTCTGCACCAAATCCCCCTGGGTCAGGTTGTCCGTCTACCCATGCCCCCCACTCCCCTCCACCCCCCATGGGGCCACATCCCCTCCTAACCTCCCTCCCCGCCAGCCAAGCCCAGGGGCCTAGGAGAACGAGAGACGCTCTGCTCGCCCAGGGGGTTTAGACACTCCCCCCTTGCCTACTGGGCACCCAGGCCTGTGTAGATGGGATCTTGGAGGGAATCCAGAGCCATGTGTCTGCTCCCCCTTGACGCTATCTCTGTCTCTGCAGGGCCCCGACAGAGCACAGTGGTGGAGGGTGAGTACCCAGACACCTGGGTTCCTTGCACGGTGGGTGTAAGGGACGCTGGGAGCCTGGACACCTGGGTTGTGTGGGGGTGGGGGTGGGTGTAGGGGAGGCCGGGAGCCCCAACGCCTGGGTTGTGTGGGGGTGGGGTGGGTGTAGGGGAGGCCTGACGCCTGGGCTGTCTGGGTGGGGCTGGACTCACCCCACTCCTCTCCCCTCTCCCAGAGTGCGGGCGCCGGGGCCCCTCGACCCGCATCGTGGGGGGCACGGACGCGCGGGCAGGCGAGTTCCCCTGGCAGGTCAGCGTCCGCCTCAATGGCACCCACTTCTGCGGGGGGTCCCTGATCAGCCACCAATGGGTGCTCACAGCTGCCCACTGCTTCCAGAAGTGAGTGCCCAGACACCTGGCGTGGGGGTGGGGGCAGGGAATCTGGGAGCCTGGATGCCTGGGGTCTCCGGAGTGGGTGGGTGGGAGCAGCGGGTTTGGGAGCCCGGACGCCTGGGTTCTCACCGTCTGCCCTCCCCGCCAGGTCCCGTGACCCCGCGCAGTTCTCGGTGCTGCTGGGCGCGGTGCGGCTGCAGGACCCCGGCCCCCAGGCCGTGGTGGTGGCAGCGGGCGCGGTGGTGGTGAACCCACGCTACGCGGGCGAGGCCTCCAGCGGGGACCTGGCCCTGCTGCGCCTGGTCCGGCCCGTGACCTTCGGCCCCCGTGTCAGCCCCATCTGCCTCCTGGACGCTGGGGTCCGCTTGCCCGCCAGCACCCGCTGCTGGGTCCTCGGCTGGGGGGA